CACCTGGGAATAATATGTTAATTACATGATAATTAAGCGTTAATTAGGTGAGTATTTGGGGTTACCTGGGGGACAGGTGAGACCCTCCTGAAAACATGCAAATAGCGCTGAGAGACAGCTGGATCAAGATGCAAATGAGATGCAAAAGAGAAATGCATGAGATGAGAATCAGATGCAAATGAGATGTAAATGAGATGTGTGCACAAGATGCGCATGCGACATGGCTGAGACGTGAATGAGATGCAAATGAGTTGCAATGAGATGAGAACAGGATGCAGATGAGATGCAAATGAGATGCGCATGAGGAATAACTGAGATGCAAATGAGAGCTGAGCAGGATGCAATGCAAAGAAGATGCAAATGATGCTGATGGTATGCAAATGAGGTAAGATTAAGATGCAGATGAAATGCAAATCGGACACAAATGAGATTGGAGCAGGATGCACAGGAGATGGGCAACAGATGCAAATGAGATGAAGGCGATATGCAAAACAGATAAGAAGCAGATGTAAATGAGATGCAAATTAGTTGCAAAATGAGATGAGAATGAGATACAAATGAGATGTGAATGTGTTGGAAAGGAGATGAAAGTGACCCCGACTATATGCAAATGATATGCAAACCAATAAGAACAAGCTGCACGTGCAATGTGATTAATGCAGATGAAATGCAAATCAGACATAAATGAGATGCAAACAAGACGCAGATGAGATGTGTATGGGATGTGAATGAGATGCAAATGAGATGCAAATGAGATGCAATCAAGGTATAAAATGAGATGCAAAGGAATAATGAATGAGATGTGAGCGCTATGCAAATCAGATGCAAATAAGATGCGAATATGATATATACGCACGTGAAATAAACTAGATGCATGCAGTACGCTAAAGCGATGCAAATGAGATGCAAATGAGATGCAAATGAGATGCAAATGAGGAACATGTGAAATAAACTAGATGTGTGCAGTGTGCGAAAGTCATGCAAATGAGATGCAAATTAGACATATGTGAAATAAACTAGATGTGAGCCATATGTGAAAGAGGTGCAAATGAGGTGTGAATGAGATGCAAATGAGGTGCAAATGAGATGCAAATAAGATATATACGTGAAACAAACCAGATGTGAGCAATATGTGAACGAGATGCAAATGAGATGCATATGAGAGGCAGGCAAGATATATATGTGAAACAAACTAGATGTACATGAAATGTAAATGAGATGCAAATGAGATCCAGGCAAGATGTTTATGTGAAACAAGCTAGATGTATACAGTATGCAAAAGAGATGCAAATGAGATGCAAATGAGATGCAGGCAAGATGTATATCTGAAACAAGCTAGATGTGTACAGTATGTAAAAGAGATGCGAATGAGATGCAAATGAGATGTAAATGATATGCAAATGAGATGTAAATGTCCCCCAGGTGCGGGAACGTGGCGGCCATCTTGGAGCTGGACGAGCACCTGCAGAAGGAGTTCATCATCTTCGAGGCGGCGCCGCAGGAAACGCGCGGGATCCCCGCCAAGAAACCCGTGGCGGATTATTTCCTGTGACACCTGGGGACACCTGAGAGACAGCTGTGACACCTGAGAGACAGCTGTGACACCTGGGGACAATGGGGACATGCCCAAAATACACCTGGGAGTGTCTGAGATACACCTGGGGACACCTGGGGACACACCTGAGAGACAGCTGGGGACACCTGGGACAGCTGTGACACCTGGGGACACCTGAGAGACAGCTGTGACACCTGAGAGACAGCTGTGACACCTGGGGACATCCAGAATACACCTGGGACACACCCAAAATACACCTGGGACACACCTGAGAGACAGCTGTGACACCTGGGGACAATGGGGACACACGCAAAATACACCTGGGACACACCTGGGGACAACTGAGACTGTCTGAGATACACCTGGGACAGGTGGGACAGCTGGGGACACACCTGGGGACAGCTGGGGACACCTGAGAGTGTCTGAGATACACCTGGGGACACCTGGGACACCTGGGACAATGGGGACACGCCCAAAATACACCTGGGAGTGTCTGAGATACACCTGGGGACACCTGGGGACACCTGGGGACACCTGGGGACAGCTGGGGACACCTGGGGACAATGGGGACACACCCAAAATACACCTGGGACACACCCAAAATACACCTGGGACAAGGGGGACACACCCAAAATACACCTGGGAGTGTCTGAGATACACCTGGGGACACCTGGGGACACCTGGGGACACCTGGGACACCTGGGACACACCCAGAATACACCTGGGACACACCCAAAATACACCTGGGACACCTGGGAGTGTCTGAAATACACCTGGGGACAGCTGGGGATAGCTGGGGACACACCCAGGATACACCTGGGACAGCTGGAGACAGGTGGGGACACCTGGCAGTATCTGAAAGACACCTGGGGACAGCTGGGGTCACACCTGAGAGTGTCTGAGATACACCTGGGGACATCTGGGACAGCTGGGGACACACCCAGAATACACCTGGGACACACCTGGGAGTGTCTGAGATACGCCTGGGGACACCTGGGGACACCTGGGACATACCTGGGACAGTTGGGGACACACCCAGAATACACCTGGGCACACCTGGGCCGTGGCAGAGCCTTGGGGGCACCTGAGTGACCTCTGGAGTGACCCTGATGACCCCTCAGTGTCCCCCAGGTGACCCCTCAGTGACCTCTCAGTGTCCCCCAGGTGACCTCTGGGTGACCCCAGGGGATTTTTGAGTGACCCCGATGACCTCTCAGTGACCCCCAGGTGACCCTTCAGTGACCCCAGGTGACCCCTCCATGACCCCCAGGTGACCCCTCGGTGACCCCAGGTGACCCCACATGGTTCTTGGGTGACCCCAGCTGACCTTTGGGTGACCCCAGGTGACCTTTGG